CCCTATTTATTTTTTTTGAAAGAGACAGAGCATGAGGAGGGGAGGGGCAAAGAGAGAGGGAAACACGGAATTCAAAACAGGCTCCAGGCTCTGAGCTGTCAGCACAGAACCCAACGCAGGGCTCAAACTCATGAGCCACAAAATCATGACCTGAGCTCAATTGCAAGATCATGACTAGAGCCGAAGTTGGATGCTTAACCAACTCAGCCATCCAGGCGCCCCTCCTCAGTTATCTTTGATTGAGAACTGTCTCTCAGGCTTCCTTTTTCTTTCTTTTTCTTTTCTTTTTTTTTGGGGGGGGGTAAACTGTACCCCCAATGTGGGGCTCGAACTCATGACCTCAAGATCAAGAGTTGCATGCTCCACCAACAGAGCCAGCCAGGTGTCCCTCTTTGTCTTTCAAACATGACATTTTGAAAAATGCAAATCCTCGGTTTGGGTTTGTCTGATCTTTCCTCAAGATTTGTTTCAGATTTTTTAAATGTTTTTTATTTATTTTGAGAGAGAGCAGCACACAGGGAGGGGCAGAAAGAGGAGAGAATCCCAGGCAGGCTCCCCACTGTCTGCGCAGAGCCCATCGCAGGGCTTGATCTCAGGGACTGTGAGATTATGACCTGAGCCAAAATCAAGACTCTGGACACTTAACCTACTGAGCCGCCCAGACACCCCTCAGATTATGCATTTTTGACTGGGATACCACGTAAGAGATACTGTGTTGTTTCTAGATATGACAAATGAAGAAACGTGATGTCTCTTTGTCCCTTATTGGTGATGTGAATTTTGATTACTCAGCTATTATACTCTCCCTTTCTCCACCATATAGAGTCACTATTTTTCATTTTTGTAATTAATAAGTGATTTGTCATAACTAACTAAAAACTTTGCAAATATCCTGATCATCATCAGACTCACCACCAACACCAGAAGTCTCCGTTGATGATTTGTGCCTGGACCAAATTTTATTCTGATATTGCAAAATGATGATTTTCTTTTTTTTTTTTTTTTAAATTTTTTTTTTCAACGTTTATTTATTTTTGGGACAGAGAGAGACAGAGCACGAACTGGGGAGGGGCAGAGAGAGAGGGAGACACAGAATCGGAAACAGGCTCCAGGCTCTGAGCCATCAGCCCAGAGCCCGACGCGGGGCTCGAACTCACGGACCGCAAGATCGTGACCTGGCTGAAGTCGGACGCTTAACCGACTGCGCCACCCAGGCGCCCCGCAAAATGATGATTTTCTAGTTCCCATCATTTCTTCTGTATTTATTAGTTGACATTATACCATAAGAAAAAACATGGTCTTCTGCCCCATTTATTTATGTACTTACATGTTATCAATATGAACTCTTGGATGCTTATTTTAGTATTAATGGACAGTCCATTGCTGTGCTTATTTGATACTTAGATTGTACCAGATTTGGCCAATAGGAGCCACTTCAAGCTGGCTCCTTGCCTTTTTGAAATGCCTCCATCATTTTATTGAGCACTTTCTTACTTTCTGCCATTAGATGTTTCAGATTCATCTGTACTTCCTTTGCCTCAGTCTTGCAATTATCCATTTCTCCAAAGAATTCTGTTTTTTTGGGAGGGGGGTTGTTTTTTTTTTTAGTGGAGAATTGTTTTTGGAAACAGAGTACAATTCGAAACTGGGTGCATTCTTTTTTAAACATTGGAATTCCTAAATTCTTGGAGAAGGGGCAGTGGGGAAGATTTTTGGAGATTAAAATCTGATGTGAAAGCCTAGTTTTCCGTAAGTAGTATAAGCACTACTTAGGTGTTTTGTGTCTCAGATCTGGTAAATATATTCTTGTGATCACACTCAGACTAGTATATTTACTTACCAAATTTGTAGGTTTTTTAAAGTGATTCTTAAGAAATTTGAAATAAACTGAGCAGAGGTTGCTTCGTTGGTGGAATTGTTTTCAGTTGTTTATTTTCATATTTAATGTTTATTTTAAATGAACAAATGCCATCCCATCTTTATAAATAACTCTCATCATCTGTATCTAACGAATAGGTTATTGCAAAAGCTAATGACAGGGTACATAGTTGTTTTAATTTTTAGATCATGAAGTATGGTTCTATACGGGTTCTTTTGGTTCATGATACCATTAAAAAGAACTTCATCTTTGGAGCGCCTGGGTGGCGCAGTCGGTTAAGCGTCCGACTTCAGCCAGGTCACGATCTCGCGGTCCGTGAGTTCGAGCCCCGCGTCAGGCTCTGGGCTGATGGCTCAGAGCCTGGAGCCTGTTTCCGATTCTGTGTCTCCCTCTCTCTCTGCCCATCCCCCGTTCATGCTCTCTCTCCGTCCCAAAAATAAATAAAAACGTTGAAAAAAAAAAAAAAAAAGAACTTCATCTTTCTAGTACCTTTGTATTTTCTAGGGCATTTGATGTAACAGGTACTCTAGTCTTCATTCATGTGTTGGTATGGAGAATCTAAATAATTTTTGTATATTTCATTGTATATGTTAATCCTCTATCACAGTAACTGGAGCATGGTAGGCCCTACAGTCTCTCGGTAATTCCTATCTAACTCTTGTCTCCTCCTTAGTTGGCATTGTTATGTTCCCCATAATATTCTTTTTAATTTGCTGTATCAATGTTTTTAACTTCCAGATTGGTATTTCTGCTGCTGACCTCATGCATTGGGTTTTATACCTAATTAAGTGAAAGCAATTCTTTATGAGAACTGCACCTCTCTCAACCTCTTTCCCAAGAGGTTTAGGTTGGCCCTAAAATGGGCCAGCTACTCCTTTCTAGGACAAATTCTAGAAATGTTATCACCCAGATGAGAGAAGTTCTCAGCCCTTCATCTGTTCATGATTAGAACGGACGTGTGACCGGAACTCCTGATGGTTGACAGGTGTGAGACTTTGGTTCTCAAGGAATGTTTTCTGTTCAGCCTAAACTGTTGAAGAGTCTTGCTTTCAACACCCAGAGCTGCTGACCGGTTCTGTCTTCTGTTCTAGAAATGACGCTCCTCTCCTCCCAGTCCTCATCACCGGTGGCCCCTCCTGGGTCTGTGTACACCGAAAACCCAGAGCAGAGGATGCTGGAGAAGAGAGCCAAGGTGATAGAAGAACTTCTGCAGACGGAAAGAGACTACATTCGGGATCTGGAAATGTGCATTGAGCACATCATGGTGCCTCTGCAGCAGGCACAGGTGGGAACTGTGGGAGCAAGTTTGCTTTACCTTGAATGTGATTCTCCAAGCCTGGAGCATTAGGATATGGGCGCTTTCCCCACAAGAGTTACTGGGTTTCAAATAAAGTCTGTGGCTGCTGCCGCCGCCCTTACTTCAAGGGTCCCAACATAACCTGTGTTGTCGATCTACCCTTTCAGCACCTGTCCCTTCTCAAGTCCACCGTTAACTTACCAGACTTAACTGCAGTAGCTCCCAGGACGTTTCCTGCTGAAAACATTTCCAGGAAGTCTGGGTTGTCACTTTATTGGGAAGGTTGTATAATAATATAATACAGTCTGGGGATGAGGGGTTACAGCCTCCAGCACCTGACTGTACAGGGTGTATTCAGGAAACCCTGACTGTGGTGTATGTGCCAGGTACTTGTCTAGATGCTGGAGATAGGAAAAACCAGTTAACAGCACCCTGGGGATTTACTGTCCTTACTGTTACTTACTTGGCCATCAGGGCTTTGCTTGAGTTTGTACTTCTGGAGCATTCACTCCTAAGAACTAGTATAGGCAGTGGGCACTGCCATCAGATTTTGGGTACTGGATGGAAATTTGTATCCCAATGTAATTATGGACCAAATTGGTAGTAGTCATTTTACTAAGGTAGTGGAGGAGGGGAGTAAAGCAGAGAGTAATTGGCTTAAGGACAAGTGACACTAAAGATAATGTTGGCGCATTCCTATTCTGGGAACTTTGTGACATTGAGTGAAGATGACCTTGAACAATTTTGTACCATCCTTGAAGAGATGTTCCTAATATGAATGATATGTCATTAATTTCATTTCCATGCGTTTTTACGTTTTGTTTCCCTTTCTCAGATACCAAACATTGATTTTGAAGGACTTTTTGGAAATATGCAGATGGTGATTAAGGTCTCAAAGCAGTTATTGGCTGACCTGGAAATCAGCGATGCTGTAGGTATGAGCTCCTGCCATTGCTTCAGAAGTAGCTTTCCCCCCCCTTTTTTTTTTTTTTTAAACTTCATGGATAGAAAGTAGGGGGTGAAGTAGTTTCACTGGTACTAAATGGGAAAATGAAGCTTTGCTAGGAAAATGAAGTTTCAGTTACTTAGTTCAGAGGTTATTTGACCCCCTGCTTTGATGTGACACAGGATGTTAGCAATAGAAGATATTTTAGATGTCACATGGTCTGATGTTTTCTAGACTGACGGTTGTAGACCATTAGTGGGTCATGAGATCAATACAGTAAGTTGCACCCAGCGTACTTTTTTCAATAAAATAAAATAGAAAATACCAGAGTGTACTATAAATAATAAGCATAGCTACAGGTTTTTGAAACTTACTTCTTATTTCAATTCTACATATAAGTACATGAGTCATGATTTAAAATGTTTTTATTCATGTGGGTCATTGTCAAAAAAATGTTTGAAAAACAGCGATCTACTCTGAATAAACGAGGGAACTGTATTATCTATTGCTGTGTGACAAATTATACCAAAACTTAGCAGCCTTAAATAAGAAACGTGTATTATCTCACAGAGCCTGTGGCTGAGGAAATCCCAGAGTGGCTTAGCAGGGTAGTTCTGGCTCAGGGTCTCATGAGGTTGGAGTCAAGGTTGGACTCCAACTGCAAGGTTGGAACCCTTGCAGACACCTTACTGTGTCTGACTGAAAGGGGACTGGAGGCAGTTTCCGGAACCAGTTCTGTGTGTGTGTGTGTTCTGAAAAATAAATACGTGATGACATGGTCCTCTTAAATTTTGCTTTAAGTAAATATAATTTTGAGCGGTTTCATGGAAATTTCTTATAAATTGGATGGATAGTCTCATTATTATTTATTGTGATAAAACTACATTGAGGATACTGAGAAGAAAGTTACTAAACACTCTGTATGTTTATGCATATTCCAAAGGGCCTGTGTTTCTTGATCACCGGGATGAGCTTGAGGGAACGTACAAGGTCTACTGCCAGAATCATGATGAGGCCATTTCACTGCTGGAAATCTATGAGAAGGATGAGAAGATCCAGAAGCATCTTCAGGACTCCTTGGCCGATCTCAAGTAGGAGTTTTGTCTGCTTCACTTCTATCATAAGTCTTTAGTTCTGCCTTGTAGAAGTCATTGCATGCATACATCTAGACTTCTTGTGACACCTATCTTATTTATTTTATTTATTTATTTATTTATTTATTTATTTATTTATTTATTTATTTATTTATTTTATGTTTATTTATCTTTGAGAGAGAGACACACACACACAGAGTGTGAGCATGGGAGGGGCAGAGAGAGAGGGAGACACAGTACCCAAAGTAGTCTCCAGGCTCTGAGCTGTCAGCACATCGCCTGATGCGGGTGCTCGAACCCACGAGCTGTAAGATCATGACCTGAGCCGAAGTTGGACGCTTAACCGGCACCCCAACATCTATCTTATTTTAAAACTAAAGTCCTGTTCTGTCACTTGCTCTTCTTATTCCCTTTTTCCTTGAAAATCTGAAGTGGCTTCCTGCTTTGTGTCTACAGATAAAAAAGTGTTAAATTAGCATGTTCAGGTAAGAAGCAGCCAGAAAGATAGTTTGGTCCAAATTAACAAGAGTGTAGGTAAGAAGACCAAATTCACTTATTCTTGACCTTTAGGTGAGATTCTCCTGGAGTTAGAGAGGTAGGTTATAAGGATATAATGTATGTCTAAGTAGATCAAAGTGAAGTTAGGGGCTTATTAACTTTTTAGTGGACTAGATATGCCTCCACAGATATTCATAATTTTCCTTTTATGCCATGTGATTTTTTTTGTCTGCCCAGCTGATAAGGCATTAGTTGAACTAATATATTCTGAGAAATTGAAAATTGGCATTAGTATCACCTCTAAGCAGCTGTCTGTTTTCTTTTCATGCCCGCCGCCCTGTAGGAGCCTGTACACAGAATGGTAAGTCCCTTGCCCTTGATGCACAAGCTCATTTCTTTATTTTCTTCCTTTATAGACAGAAACCTAGGAATAGGTCTGCTGTGCTGTATTTTTCTCCATAGTTCTTCCCACCAAATGACACTTCATGTAATGTTTGCTTGTTGCCTGTCTCCTTCCACCAGGACAGGTCACTGCTAAATCCTCAGTATCTAGAACAGTACCTGGTATTTATTAGGTGCCCAGAAAATATTCGTTGAAAACATGAAATTGGAAAGGAGGGTGAGAGAACACAACTATCTTTATTTAAGAATGACAGACACCACCAATAGGCCCTGTATTATTATTATTTTTTTTAATATGAAATTTATTGTCAAATTGGTTTCCATTACAACACCCAGTGCTCATCCCAACAGGTGCCCTCCTCAATGCCCATCACCCACCTTCCCCTCCCTCCACCCCCCATCAACCCTCAAGTTTATTCTCCGTTTTTAAGAGTTTCTTATGGTTTGACTCCCTCTCTATTTTTTTTTTTACTTCCCCTCCCCCATGGTCTTCTGTTAAGTTTCTCAGGATGCACGTAAGAGTGAAAACATATGGTATCTGTCCTTCTCTGTATGACTTACTTCACTTAGCATAACACTCTCCAGTTGCATCCACGTTGCTACAAAATAGACCCTGTATTATTGACGGTTGATTAGAAGTCTCTGGTTTACCCTCTCTTACAGGGGATGCACAAATTACATTAACCTGGGCTCCTTCCTCATCAAGCCAGTCCAGAGAGTAATGCGCTACCCACTGCTGCTGATGGAGTTGCTGAATTCCACCCCAGAATCTCACCCCGATAAAGTGCCCTTAACCAATGCAGTCCTGGCAGTCAAGGAGATCAACGTTAACATTAATGAATATAAACGTCGAAAGGACCTGGGTAAGAAAAGCATACTTGCCGAAAAGAAGGAATGCCCTTGAGGACGCTCTCCTAATCAGAAGAATTGTTACTTCACCAGAGATGGGCAAGGCAGAGGGTGGGTAACAGGGCTGTGCTTGAAGAAATGGTGGCAGAATTTGGGGGAAATGGGATATGAAAAAGAAAGCAATAACATAAGGAGAGTACAGCCGTGGAGCAGCAGAAGTAAGGCATCTGTGATCAAGCGTAGAGCAGTAAGTCTTCCCCAAGGATGTGAAGACTGATTGGAGAGTGGCTTATGCAGGCACCGGTGATTCCCTTCGCAGCTCATTGAAGGCGATCCTTTTCCACCCGTGCCTAGATTTGTCCTCCTGCATATGCCGGGTCGGATGTTTTACTACCTCCACTTCAGTTAGGAATTTTCACTTTCTTCCAGAAAACCCCAGTTTGCCCTGTCTCTGGGTCACGTGACTCCTCTCTGGTCTGAGCCCCGCCCCCAGCACTGTGCAGCCAGTTGCCAAACCACCCAGCGCATTCTTTATTATGTGGAATGAAGCAAACCGTTTCTTTTCTCTTTTCATCAAACCTCTTATGAGGCTCTAATTTGAATGCTCGATGAGTATGCATGGTGACCAGGCTAACCTGGTTTGTTAGTCATATCTGCAAAGAATGGAGAGTATAACCTCTTTCTCTGCCTTCTGCTTCCACCTCGTCACCCACACTGGTATGTAATGTTGACTGTGCTGTTCAAGCCCTTGGGCTATCTAGCCCTTTGTCTTGGTTCATATCTCCTAATGTAATGTCGTCTTCATCTCCTGCAACAATAAAGTGTGCCTTCGTGGTGCCTCCCAGTTCTCTTGCAACCCTTCTGGCATCTCCAGGCTTTTCTTGATATTGTACCTAAGGTATGACACAGTAGTTAGTCACATGACTCCTGTATAGCTTTTTACTGTGTGAGACAATTGGATATAAATATCTCATTTGTGGGGCACCTGGCTGGCTCAGTCAGTTAAGCATCTGACTCTTGATTTCAGCTCAGGTCATGATCTCATGAACTGTGAGATCGAGCCCTGTTTCTGGTTCCGTGCTGACAGCGCAGAGCCAGGTTAGGATTCTCTCTCGCTCTCTCTGCCCCTCCCCAACTTGCTCTCTTTTTTTCTCTCTCTCTCAAAATAAATGAAACCTTTAAAAAATACATTTCAGGGGGCACCTGGGTGGCTCAGTCGGTTAAGCATCAGACTTTGGCTCAGATCATGATCTTGAGGTTTGTGGGTTTGAGCCCTCCATTGGGGCTCTGCTGGCAGCTCGGAGCCTGGACCTGCTTCAGATTCTTCTGTACCCCTTTTCTGCTCTCCCCCCCCACTCACCATTCATTCTTCAAAAATGAATAAACATTCAAATGAAAAATACATCTTGGGGCGCTTGGGTAACTTAGTCTGTTAAGCGTCCAACTTCAGCTCAGGTCATGATCTCACAGTTTGTGAGTTCAAGCATTGGGCCCTGTGCTGACAGTGCAGACCCTGCTTGGGATTCTCTCTCTCCCTCTCTCTCTGCTCTTACCCTGCTTGCTCTGTCTCAAAATAAATAAATAAACTTAAAAATAAATAAATAATACATCTCATTTGTACAGGAGACCATTTAAGATGGTCTTATAAAGCAAGTAGCATTCCTTTCTACATTTTATTGGAGAAGGAAGTGAGGCTTAGAGAAGTCAACTGATTTATGGAAGACCACACCTTGATGAAATGATGGACCCAGGCATTGAGCTCACAAGTTTCCTTGACTCCAAATCTTGGACTCTTCTCCTGACCCTTCTGCTCCCTTTGCTCCTCACCACCCCTAGTCTGCACAGTCTCTCTCTGTGCTTTGTCAAGTATCCCGTCCGTCCATAATGGTGATCTTTATTCATGTTTTGTCTGTAGTCAGTTATGAGCTCACTGAATACAAGCACTAGCTCTAGTTTGGGTGGTTGATCTCATTTTGTGGCTCGTGTTGTAGTCTGTCCATGCTCAGAGAAGGGCTTTCTTGACTCACTCCCTAGTCCTCAAGTACCGAAAAGGTGATGAAGACAGCCTCATGGAGAAAATTTCCAAACTGAACATCCACTCCATCATCAAGAAATCCAACCGAGTTAGCAGTCACCTGAAGCACCTCACTGGCTTTGCTCCACAGGTGAGATTCCCACACTTGAAGGTTTGGCACATCTTCGCAGAGTTTTGGGGTTCCCCAGGGCAGCCTGCATGGTGTCGATTGCATGATTCCCCTCTTAGTACCTCTTTTAGTATTTGTCAGCTGGTGGATACAGGGCCCTGCAGCTACTGGGTAGGTGAATCCACCCACCCCACTCCCCCAACCTTCACCCGTGCTTTGGTGAGCTGCTTACGATGTGTACAAAGACAAATCAGGCCAAATCGGTCACTATATCATAGTTAATGTGGTTTTAGACGCCCGTGAGGAGCTTATGATCTATTTGGGGAGACAAAATTGTAGACATGAAGCTAGAAGGGATTTAAGAGATCACCATCGTTCAACACCACACGTCACAAATAAAGAAACATAAAGTCTGCGAAATTGAGTAATTTGTAAACAGGTCATGCACATTGCTGAGAGTGGATCTGAAGTCACCAGGCTTCATTCTACTCTTCCATATATGCAGCGTGCAATTAGTGGAAAACAGCAGCTAGAGAACAGTCAGCTGTTAAGTTTTGCAGTTTGTTTTCTGGATGCCGTAGTACTTAAAACAGGACCTCCATGAGAGTGAGCTTCATGTTGGCAAGAGATTTAATCTAAACCTCAAAGAAAGAAGGTAGTTTGGCATAGGAAGAGGGGAGGGTATACCAGACAAGGTGACAGCTCGAGCCAGGGCACCAGGGTGAACAAACATGGTGGGCTCCAGGGACAGGAAGAGAGCAAAGCTGTGAGGGTAAGAGGGTCTGTGTGTATTTTGGAGATCTTTCAGGGTCACATAGGGGTGTTTCGATTCAATTCAGTGTGATTCGGGGAAACCTCAAAGGTTTAAAATTTAGACAAAAGATATTTTTAAGAAAGATGCTTTTGCCCCTAGGATAGGTTGCGGGAGAATCCAAATCTGCTAACAGCACATGTTTACTGTGAACAGATAAAAGATGAAGCATTTGAAGAAACAGAAAAGAACTTCCGAATGCAAGAAAGATTGATCAAATCTTTTATCCGAGACCTGTCTCTCTACCTCCAGCATATCCGGGTGAGTGAGGACAGCGCTCCGCTGAGAATCACATAGGGTATAATCTTGTCTGCTTTCCTGCTTGCCAGCATATTGTGGAATGCATGTTGAATAATCTGGACTCCAACGACCACTGTGCCCTGACATACGTGTTCCTGGGAGCCCTGGAGGTCATTTAAGAGGTGATAGCATTTGGAGGATGAGCACGCTGAGTTAATTCTAGGGTGGCCCAGCTTCTTCCTCCCCCTGGCATCTCTACCTTCCCACCACCTTTTTCCTACTGTCTCCTCCATCCAGTTACTTGTGAAGCACTTGTCACAGTTCATTTTGTTAAGATGATTTTGAAGATCGAAAAACACGAGAATGGCTCCTATGGAGGCATACTTTCTATTAATAATGTTGATTGCCATCTAATTTAGTTGCTATACAAAAGGCCCCTAAAGTTGTTAGAACCATGAATTGCTCTGGAGAGCTGGAGGGGCTGAGGATACCAGGCAGTATTTGCGTCATGGTCAGAGCCAGGACTAGAATCCTTTTATTTTATTCTGTAAAGATATTTATTTATTTATTTATTTATTTATTTATTTATTTATTTATTTAGAGAGAAAGCACACATAAGTGTGAGCAGTGGAGGGGCAGAGAGAGAAAGAGAGAGGGAGAGGGAGAATCCCAAGCAGGCTCTGAGCTGTTAGCTCAGAGTCTGATGCGGGCTCAACCTCACGGACTTCAAGATCATGACATGAACCAAGATCAAGAGTCAGACACTTAACCTACTAAGCCACCCAAGTGCCCTGAGGAGTCGAATCCTTTTTATTTGTATCTCTCATTCCCCTATGGACTTCATACAATCGTGTTTATGGAAGCATATCGTATACCCCTGGCCCTCACACATGAAAATCTCATCCTGTGAAACAAGCAGTTTTCTTTAAAAGAGATCCTTTGCTTTCTAAAAAAAAAAAAAAAAAAAAAAAAAAAAAAAAAAAAAAGTGATTTTTTAATTGAGCAGAAAGGTACAAAAAAGATACCAAAGGGATAAGTAAAAAGTGAAAATAATTCTTCCTCCAACCCGTCTCCTAGTCCCCTTCTATAGACAGTTTGCATTTATCAGATTCTTCTCTCATCATAGATGGTTGTGTGTGTGTGTGTTACACACTGTTGAGCATCTTGGGTTTTGCACACAATAGTGTTTTAGAAGTCGTTCTGTACCTATGCACACAGAACTGCCTTTTTTTTTTTTAACACCTGCACACTATTTGATTATATGGATGTGCCATAACATATTGAACTTCTCCCCTATTGACGGACATTTAGACTGTTTGTAGTTGGTAAATGAATTGATGCATTGGCACAAGGAACATCCTTATAGATACATCATTTTCTGATCTATGAGTATATCTGAAGACCAGAGTCCTGGCTTTTCTGAGCCAAATCATATAGCAGTGTAGATTTTGATATTAGTAAATTTCATAGACATTATACCAGTGAAAACTCCCTACCAGTAGTGTGTGAAATGATTTCCTCATCCCTTGCTAACACAAAGTGTTACCAAATCAGAATATCTTCTCTTTGCAAGATAGGTTAAAAATGCTATTTCAATATAGTTTAAATTTGCATTCCTTGTGAATGAAACTGAGGATATTTTTAAGTCATTATATTCCTTTTTCTGTTGATTTGTCCATATTTTGAGGCACTTATTTATTTATCTAAAAAAACTTTTTTAAGTTTATTTATTGTTGACAGAGACAGAGACAATGCAAGCAGGGGAGGAACAGAAAGAGAGGGAGAGAGAAAGAATCCCAAGCAGGCTCTGCACAGTGCAGAGCCTGATGCGGGGCTCAAACTCACGAAACTGTGAGATCATGACCTGAGCTGAAACCAAGAGTCAGATGCTTAACTGACTGAGCCACCCAGGCACCCCAAGGCACTTATTTATTGATTTGATGGTCTTTTTCTTATCAATTTGTAGTATGTCTGTATATTACAAAGTAGACTTTGTCTGAGATGATGGTTTACAAATATTCCCCCCCCCCCCCACCGGTTTGTTGACTTTTGAGTTTGCATAAATATTTTCTCCATGTAGAAAATTTTTAGTTTTGCATGGTCTAAGCTTTTCTTTTATGGCTCTTAGCTCTGTGTCATACTTGAAAAGATCTTTTCTATTCCAAGATAATAAATATCTCCCAGGTTTTAGTATTTTTATCATTTCATTTTTTAAAGTTGAAGTCCTTGATCTGGCTGGAATTCCCTGCATAAGGTCGAGGTAGCAATCCAATGTGCTTTTTTTTCACCTGGTTTTCCAACTGTCATCATTTATTGAGTAATCCCCATGATCTGAAATGTCCCTACTATTCTTCTAAATAGCAAACTCTCTCCCTTCATGTTTTAAGTATATAATTAGGTGAAAGTTAGGGTTTATAGAACTTTTCAGGGAGCACATTGGTTTAAAGTGAGAGATTTGGCAAAACGAATATTGGTATATCTCCCAAGTGTGTTCTCTGGTCTAGGACTTTGCCTTCCAATCCCTCTGATTTTGATATTCCCCTATTGGGTGTTTTCTTCCCATATGTTCTAAATGTGTAGCAAGCATATACCTGAGCCCCCAACTCTTTTAAAAGGCTTATCTCCATAGCAGTGAGTGGGATATACGTAACCTTGACGGCCATTTGATGGGCAGGTCAGTTTGGTTCTGACTGCTAGCCAGAAATGAAGGGAGAAGATGTTGAACAGTTTCATCCCTGACTTTATAAAATGAAAAGCCCTGCCAGATAAAAGTAGCTGAGTCAACTGAGGGAGAGAGAGCGCTGGCAAGAACATAAGCTGAGGGACGTTGACTATACTTTGCTATCTACATTGGTGCGTGGACTACTATTTTGAGACTTTGCGACATTTCTTTAAAAGAATATAAGAGGACATCACTTTCACATTCGTTCTCCCACTCAGGAAGAATTAGGAAGATTACAGTTTATCCTTCTGACAAAACGCTGGCTATGTCTACACATACAGGCATAGGACCTAAAGACTAGAGGTCTGCAAATGCCATGAAATAAAATGTAGTAAAATCAAACCGATGTATGAGGCACTGATGTTTTTTGCTTGGGGACTTCATTTGCCCTTGAAATACATTAATGGAGTTTTGGGTACATTTAGATTTTATTTGGGTTAATATCAAAGTAATAGGCATTCCCTGAACTTAAACTAAAGAAGGTGAAAGCCCAGCATTGTTTCAAGTAGCCAGAAAAAAACCAGCCCAGGATTTAATAATGGTCAAGATCAGCCAGGGGAGTTTACTGTTTACTCACTTATTTATTCATTTATTCAGCAAATGATAATTGAGTCCACAAACAAAACAGACAAAAATCCCTGTCTTCATGGAGCTTCCATGCTATTAGGGGTCTGTGGGAGGAAGATAGAGATAATAAGCAAGCATTAGTAAATTATATTGTCCATGAGAAGGTATTTTTGCAGTGACAAGGGACAGAGCAGTCTGGAGTGCCTGAGTGCAGGAAGGGGGGCTGTAATTCTGTATAGGGTGGTGGCCAGTGTCTTTGAGAAGGTGACAACACGAGCCAACACTTGTAGGAGGAGAGGCGATTGCTCATTATCGTGATCTTGCAGGAATCATCTTGGCTCAAATTTGTTAATTTACCTCTTGATGAATTAAAAAACCCTCAAATTAGGAACATAAAGAAATGCTAAAGAGCTGATAAAAACCCTTACCATTTTTTCTATAATTAAGAGCCTTAGGCTTTTCTCTGTGGCTCATAAATCATAGTTTATGAGGGTGAGCTTGTTTCAAAGCTAAAATACTGCGCCAGAGAGAAAATTATTAATCATGGACCCCTTTTGTCCCATTCTGCTACCCAGGATGAATGGTGAAGGCTAGGAAGTTCTGTTTGTCTTACCGCATTTGTTTCTAACTGGCTCCAGGAATCAGCGTGTGTGAAAGTGGTGGCTGCCGTGAGCATGTGGGATGTGTGCATGGAGAAGGGGCACCGAGACTTGGAGCAGTTCGAGAGGGTGCATCGTTACATCAGTGATCAGCTCTTCACAAATTTTGTAAGTGACTCTTTCCTCAACCCTCTTTTTATAGGGCCCTCTTCTTGGGATTCTTTAACATCCAGCTTGTGGAAAAGTTAATTCCACAGAGACATGGTGTGTGTGCATCAGGAATACCAGTCTCCCTCTAGCTATATTCTATTGGGGTTTTATATTCAGAACAGTGGCTTTTAATTAGTTGAAAGGACAGGTTGGCCTTTGGGATTCAAAGAGATTTTTTTTCTAGCTGTGATCAGTCTAGCTTGAAGAGACAGGAAAAGTGGGAAATTTAATCTGGTATCACTATTGATAACTCTGCATAAAAAAAACAACTATCGGAGTACTAACTTAGAAAGGAATATGTAGGAATAGTTTAGAAGTTAACAAATGGATCTTTGATTTGGCATGAACTTCCTTAAAAAGACAGTACTAAAGGCCAAATTGCCTGGGTTAATTCTAAATAGAGACATGGGATTGTTTGATCCTGAGTAGAAACAGATGGGTGGGGTTTGATGGGTTCTTGGAAATCTCTGAATGGCGTAAGCTGAAGAAAGCATTCATTCTCGCTTGGGGAACTTGCAGGTGTTCCAACAACAGTAGCATCTTATTAAGTAATTTACTTAAGTGCCTGTGTGTGTGTGTGTATATATATA